CACTTGTTCCCTTCCCTCGTCAAACCTCCTCCACCTTCTAATGAAAATCAGGATGTCTTTCCATGTGAAGGAATTCATCTATTTCCTTGGAAGGGTCCCAGCGCCAAAGTTTGATGCCGCAATCGCCCGAACGTCTCACATTACGCCAAGTAGTGGTAGAACATTTCTTCATCCCTCCTACATCTCGAGATCTTCCTGCACAAATATTAACGACGGGCGTCTCCTAAACTGTTCAGTTTTTTCTGTTCTGTGCTGTTCAGAATCTTCCTGCTCTAGCAAGTAGCCAGGCCGACCACGATTTGTTCGGCCCAGTCACAAAGTCCTGAGCTTTTCTGCAGCCACTGCTTACCCCTCAATGTCCTATGAGCCCATTCATTGAGGGCCGTCGTTCCTTGTGATGCCTAACATCCTCCGTTTCGAGTCTAGCCAATTCGTCGGCCTTCTCGTTTCCTGAATTCCCACTATGTTCCGGGACCTACATAAGTTTTACCTCTTTGTGCGTAGCTATTTCTTCCAAAACTTAATTGATTCAAATATCGTACTATATATAATGGCCAACAATGTATTACAATACTGAATATTTACTTCGTGGAATGAGGAATCAGATATTTCTTTTAACAGTACTCATTTAGTATGGTGCAAAGTATTTGGGTTCGGTTTATCATTTCGGACTCAACGCCTATGATAGTAACAATTTTCATTATAAATACATTAGACAACTAGAAATATCTAACAAACCAAAATTGTAAATGCCGTACACCAGTGGCGGTCGGTCCATGGAAGCAAGGGAAGCAGTGCTTCCCCTGGGATTATTAAAAAAACACATAAATAGAACCTAATTATTATTTATCACATATATTAATCATTAAAATTTATTTTTAACCAATTTCAATAGATACGGCCCTGCATTTCAGCAGCTGAGATAATGTTCCACGCTAAAACCGTAACGATGATGCACTCGATTAATCGAGCCAACACGAACTCGCGCGACTTCGATATATGTACGCAGAGACAACTGTCTCTGATGTAAATAGGTAAATTATTGAAATGCATCCCATCCCCACTTCATAATCTTGATATCTGAGCTGTATAGCATCGTAATACGTTTTATTTTATAGATTTTAATCTCGATTTTAATATCGATTTTAATATTATACTTAATATTAATCTTCCTAGTATTATTCTCAGCTTTTGTGCTATATTTGTAAAAACTTTTTGGTGTTTCTAAACCTCTGTGGTGCGGCGACAAGTGATTTTTAAAACGTTGAATATTAGTGCGCGTGTAAGCAGATTTAGAATTACTTATTAAATTTGGAAGCTGGTTCTAGCACTGTGGAAAATATTATTTGCGTTTGTGTGGTGTGCAATTTGTTGAAAAGGGGATTTTCAACATTTTGTTTCAAGATAAACTGGATATATTATTGGAAATGGGAAACCAACACCTGATTTAAAATTCTTAAAAACGAAAGTTAAGTCACGCTATAGGTACCTACTTTAATATTGAAGTGTACAGTGCTAATCAGTGGTTAAGGGGTTGTGAAAATTTGTGTAAATTGTTTTGTTGGCCATATGTACTGTTCACAAATGAAAAAGGTGTTTGGAATAAAAATGGCTTTTCAGATTTAAACAACATTCACAAAGTGACAAAAAGGCATGGTAAGTGTGAAACTCATTTGCGAGCGGTGCTAAAAGAAAAAACATTTGGAAAATCACGAATTGAGCATTCATTAGATCAGCAGTTGAAAGAAAGTGTTAAAAGGGCTTATTGACATTGTTTGTTTTCTCGGCGAAAATGAACTTAGTTTTAGAGGTCATACTGAATCTCGAAGCGTTGCTAATAGGGGCAATTTTATCAATTTAGTTGATTTATTAGCAAAATACGATACAATTTTAAGTAACCATCTGGAACACTCCACGATATTTCGCGGTACATCAAATCATATTCAAAATGATTTGATTCAGTCGATAAGCAATATTGTTTTAGAAAAGATCAAGCAAGAAATAAAAAAGCTCCTTTTGTTGCAGTTATGTTAGATGAAACAACCGATATTACGAATATTAGTCAGTTGTCAATCGTAGTACGCTACATAAATCCAAATGGGAAAGTCCAAGAGCGCTTTTTAGGATTTTTAGACGTAACAACGCCATGAACGGCCGCAGCTTTATATACTATAGTTTGTCAGATAGTCGATGATCTACAGTGTGGTGCTAAACTTATCGCCCAAAGTTATGATGGGGCCGCTGTAATGGCTGGTGAATTGGGGGGCCTGCAGGCCAAAGTAAAAGAGACTTTTCAGAATGCAATATTTGTACATTGTTTTGCGCATCGATTAAATTTAGTTCTAGCTCAATCTGCGGCGTCTTAAAGAGTGCAAAGTGTTTTTTTCAAGTATTAGTGGAATGGCTGCCTTTTTTTTCAAAATCATCAAAACGGACACGAGAATAAAAACTTTTTTCAAGAAATTCAACCAGTGAAAAGCGGCTTTCAAAATTGTCCCTGTTGATAATAGAAAGTGACTTTGTGAAGGAGGTGTCCAAAAATTCAAACTTTTACGACGAAGTTATTTCCGACATCGCAAAAAAGGAGAAGCGGATTAAACTACATTGTAAATAGGTAGGTATATGCATGTTAACTACTTAACTAGCTGGCTCAATTTATAGTTGGCTAGAGAGTGCACGATGGCTAGTGTGACTGAACAAACTCTCTATTTCGCTGCGGGTTCAATCCTCGCCACCGGCGCTGGCAATGTCGGTGGATATGGTTGTGTGTCTGCGTTTTTTTCATAAGTGTAACCCTCGCCCGTGCAGCTTCGGCTTTGGAATCGGGGGTTGTCTAATTTTTGTGGTGTTTTTATGTTTTATGTTTATTGAGGAGTGGCGGTCCTACAAGTGTACTTTTTTCTAGATATCATAACTTTGCAGCTTTCGACATTTGCTTTAAAATGAGTATACGGAAGCCACGTCCCTTTTCTTAAAATAATTTTTTGCCTCGCTTCGCTCGGGGCCTCGCGCTACCCATCACTCTATATCACAAACTGCTTCCCCTGTATCAAAACTCACCGCACGCCCCTGCCGTACACACTCTATAATAGTAATGGTGGACAACGTTAATTAACTAACAATATAATTTTCCACACAACTTCAGCACCTATGAAGCAAGTTTGTATCTTACCAATTTATTTTCAGATAATTCTAGACCAAATTCTCTCGAAATGTGACCGTAACTCCAAAACTAGTTATAAAAATCGTAAAACGTTAAGGTCTATTAAAACATCAATTTTTGTTTTTAAGCATGAACTTCCCCCTATTTCGCTTGTAATTAAAAAATTAAGTTACGCCCCATACCAAGCAGTCAGTCGCCCGGAATAATGTACAGTTGTGAAGTGCTTGTCCGTATGTCTATTTAAACACCTCAATATTCACAAGGCTTGTTCCAGCAGACAGGTCAGAACGGTTCTGAATTAGAATTCCTAAAGTTATAATTGACCGATTCAAAGGTAAACCAGTCACTGGAGTTAGTAGTTAGTAGTTGATATTGGACAAACCACTACTTGACCAAGAGCAAGACGCAGCAAACAGATCCCTAATTACAATCAAATGTCAGAATCAAAGGTAAATAGTTATCTCAAATGTAATTTTCTTAAATCTGCCAGAGGGAAATTTAATAGAATTAGACAGCATATTTGTAATAATTTCATTTTATAAGCTCAGGGTTATGCGCGTAACATTCTACTCCTTAACTTTTTTGTTTTTTTTTTATCTAGAAAAAAATAGTGACGACCAAAGTTGTAGGAAATTTTCTTGCGATTTCAACGCACTGTTCAGGAAAACAATTGAACTTCTCATTTCGGAGATATAAATCAAACTTTCATTTTTTTAAAAAAAGAACACCCTATATATTTCTCATTTTTTGACATCTTCGTTTTTTTTCTTCTAATTAGAAGGATTGTTGAGTGTTATGTTTCCTGTCTGACAATGTCATTTTTTTTTTTTCATTAATACTGTAAGAATAATACACCATTTTTTCCTTAACAATGTTGAAACACAACTAGAACTGTCAAACCATATTACAGTAACTGTTTTGATTTTTCCACGGCAATTTAGATTTTGTCCTTTATGCAACATTCACTATTTCAAAGCACAATACTGTACAAACTATTTGAACAAACGTATGATATACATACATACTCGTATATCATTGCAATCAGAAGAAGCGAGGATTTCAAAAATGAGAAATATACAGACTGTTCTATTTGAGAAAGTAAAAGTTTGATTTATATCATCGGTGTTCTGACAGGCCACTGCAGACTTAGGAGGCATCTATCATTGATAGGTATTGAGGAAGACCCTACATGTCCAAGATGCAGGAGTGATGAAGAGACATCTTACCACTTCCTGGGACAATGTGAAGCGTTTGGGCGCCTGAGACACAGTATCTTCGGTTCAGAGGCGCTTTTAAGGGAGGAGATGAGCTCCCTCGCAATGAGTGACATCCTGACCTTCATCAGAAGGTCGGAAAGATTTGATGCGGGAGCAAGAGAAGCACATGGCTGAGGGGACAGCTGGGGATTGCTAAAAAGGGCCCGTATGTGGCCTACTTGCCAGGTGTCAGCCTCCCCCACCATTACCATTACCATTGATTTATATCTCCGAAACGAGAAGTTCAACTGTTTTCCCGAATAGTGCGTTGAATCACAACAGAATTTCCTGCAACTTTGATTCTTGCCATTTTTTTTGGCATACGCAATATCGATTTCATTGAAGTAGATACCCGGTTATCTAATATATCTTACATTCTTCAAAGATCTCCACACATTAATCTAGTGAAGGTAGAGAAAACTCCACCTGATACTGTCCATCTTTAAACACCACAGGTAATACGTATCCCTGAAGGTATCTCAAGGCACCTTGTGTGGGAGAGGGCTACACATTTAGAGACAATGGACACACACCCAATGTTCGAGTATGCTAGGATTAATTTCTGGTTTAGAAAAAATTCTAGCTCCTCGACCGGGGATCGAACCCGGGACTCCTGGGAATCCTGGGTGAGAGGCTAATATTCTTACCACTCGACCACGAAGCGACATAAAATATAATCAATATAATTTGTCTGGCGAAAATGAGGAGAGATGGCGCACCGTTTTGTGGGTAATAAAGAGCTGTCATAAATAATATAAAACAAACTAAAGCGGCGAAATTATGTACAGAAATTCTTCAAATATCACGAATGCTGGTGTTCACGTCATCAATTTCAAATTTTCAAATCGATCAATCGCTACCAGCTCTAGAAGACATACGTTTAAAATAAACTGATCTACATGTCTTTGAAATACATATACATAAATTGATGACGAGAACGCCAACATTCGTGATGTGTTATAGTTGCAAATATGTAAGAATAAATGTATCTGAGTTATATAAATCAAAAATTCAGGAAATAAAGAGACACAAGTATAGTATTATATGCTGGACACATCCCAGTTCCTCAATATTTTTTGCAAAAATGTAACATTCCAAAATCATCTGGGTAGTTTGAGAGAAACTTGATTTTGAAGCAGTTGGCATGACGTTGACGATTTGTTTTTACTACATACAGGCCCCTTAATTCTAGGATTGTTTTAAACTGTCATAACTGCATTAAAAAAAATCTTACTATATTTTTAAAATTAAACATTAAAATACACACACAAGGTACCTACTGAAGAATATACAATACAATACAATACAATACGTTTATTGGAAAAAAAAACAAGAGTACAAGTACAGACATGAATTTTTTTCCCAAAAATGAAGTGTATCAACAGTGTTGCTTTACAACACTTCCCGTGTACAAAAATATACATTATAATATATCAGCTAATATTTTATATAGTTCTTTGGGAAGATATAACTAATTTTATTGTTTTTCTAACGCTTCGGCGTATTACACCATCATCAGAGAACTACAATTAATATAATATTTTAAAAACACAGTTATGGCTATTTTACATGACATTATTTACTTACACTATTAATTATTAAGTGTTTGTGTTAAATTTTGTTACGTTTGGTTTCAAAACAAACACCTAATAAATAATAGTGTAAGTGAAGTTAATTTTATAAAAAACGTCGGCGTCTTTGATCCGTCAATGAAGCTGATGCTTTTTATGTTGCAAATAAGTTCGAAATAAATTATAAAATGTAATGTAAAATAACCACAACTGTGTTTTTAAAATATTATATTAACTGTAGTTCCCTGATGATGGTGTAATAAACCGAAACATTAGAATAAAAATAAAATATCTGACCGAAATTCCCAAATAACTATACAGGGTGGGGCAATAGTGCGTCGGACCTCGATATCTTGAGTTCTACGATAGCTAGGAATTTTAAAAAAAATTACAAGTAAACTAGATAAAAAAGTCTATAACAGGAAATTATTTTCGAACATACAGGGCGAGCCAAGACGAAATTACAGGACCAAGTGCTTTTTTTTTAAACGGAATGCTATGTATATCAGTACATTTTTTGAAGCCTTTTTCTAGGCTCTATTCATTCCTGTATTATTATTGGCTATCTCCCAACCACTTTGATATAATGAATTTTTTTTGTTGAAATAATGCCATCTGCAGATGGATATTAAAAATATCACCACAGTTACAATTATGGGTTTTAAGAAAAACTTATGTGAATATCAGTTACAAGACATCTAATTAATGTTTTTGAATCATTTTCATTTCCTACAAATGTACAGGGTGGCTAAAAATTAGTATTCAATTAAGAACTTTTTAAATTGAATTTTCTCAATTTTTTCAAATGGAATAGCCTGTATATTTTTCAACGATGTGATGTAAAAATGAAAAACGAACATTTTTTTGTAAGTACTTCCCTATGGCTAATTGCAACCATTTTCGTTTTATAAATAAATAAGTGTTTATTTTTCAATTAAGAACTTTTTTAAATTGAATTTTCTAAGTTTTTTCAAATGAAACATCCTATATATTTTTCGACGATATAATGTAGAAATGAAAAACGAAAATTTTTTGTAAGTACTTCCTTACGGCTAATTGCATTTTCGTTTTATAAATAAATAAGTGTCAAATTCAAGAATAAAAAAGAGGTTCCCTCAAATAATTCATTAGAATAATTTATAATAGGTGTTCAACGTGTTGCCCATTTTGATTGACACACGTCTTTATGCAATTTTGAAATGAGGCCATTTAGTGGACCATTTCCATTGAAATGAATAAATAGTATTTAACCAGTCCTTTACTGTAATGTTTTTTTGTAAATTTTTTTTGCTGTTTTCGTTATTCGACAAGCAATAAAACCTCAGTTTGGTATAAATTGTCGTGTACAAAGGAGCATTTATCACACTTATCGGTCGTTAGTTACAATTTGTATTGAATTTAAAATATTTGGAATTTTACAATATAAATTTTAATAAAGCGGAACTTGTAGACATGACTTTTGTTTTGGGCGAGTCAGACAGAAATTGTTTACTTGCCAATAGAATTTATCACCAACGTTATCCTAAAAGAAGGCTTCCTGATGTTAGCAGCTTCCAAAACCTTCTCGATAGATTTCTGGAAATTAGAAATGCCGAATATAAGAAAAGTGAAAGAATAAAACGTGTTGTGAACGAAGAAAATGACTTTTCTGTGGTACTGGCAACGGTTGACAATCCCCATGTTAGTCAAAGAGAAGTGACCTCATTAGTAGGAATAAGTAGACGGTCTGTGGGTCGAATCTTAAAAACAAATAAGTTGCATGCATATCATATTCAAATGCACCAGGAATTATCTGATGACGATTTTCAAAAGCGCCTACAATTTTGTAATTGGGCCAGAGGTAAAATGCCAGTTGATGTCAACTTCTTCAATAATGTTGAGGCTGATGAGGCAACTTTTCATAAAAATGGATTTGTTAATAGGCACAATTTCCATTATTATGCTTCGGAAAATCCTCACTTTTTTATGCAAGTTGATAACCAACACAGATGGTCTATAAACGTTTGGGGAGGAATTATTGCAGAACATGTAATAGGGCCACATTTCTTTGATGGTACATTGACTGGAGCTATTTATCTTCATTTTTTGGAAAACTATCTGCCACAATTATTGGTAAATCTCCCTGGAAGAATTCGAAATAGGATGTGGTTTCAGCAAGATGGTGCTCCACCACATTATTTAAATGCAGTTAGAGACCACTTAAATAATACCTACCCTCATCAATGGATTGGAAGAAATGGACCCACTAAATGGCCTGCTAGATCCCCAGATCTTACAAAAATGGATTTCTTTTTATGGGGATACGTGAAGGAAATTGTTTATAGAGACACACCAACAACAGTACAAAATATGAAGGAAAGTAATAACTGCCTTTAAATATATCACACCGGCAGTTTTAGGAACAGTGGGAACCTCATTTCAAAAGCGCATAGAGATGTGTATCAATCAAAATGGCCAACATGTGGAACATTTATTATAATTTTTTCTACTGAGTTATTTGAAGAAACCTCTTTTTTTAAGTTTATTTTTGAATGTTGTAATTATTGCTCAATAAAACGAAAATGGTTGCAATTAGCCATAGGGAAGTACTTACAAAAAAGTTCGTTTTTCATTTTTACATCACATCGTTGAAAAACATACAGGGTGTTCCATTTGAAAAAATTGGGAAAATTCAATTTAAAGAGTTCTTAATTGAATACTAATTTTTAGCCACCCTGTACATTTTTAGGAAATGAAAATGATTCAAAAATATTAATTAGATGTCTCGTAACTGGTATTCACATAACTTTTTCTTAAAACCCATAATTGTGACTGTGGTGATTTTTTTAATATCCTTCTGCAGATGGCATTACATCAAAGTGGTTGGGAGATAGCCAATAATAATATAGGAATGAATAGTGCCTAGAAATAGGCTTCAAAAAATGTACTGATATACCTAGCATTCCATTAAAAAAAAGGCACTTGGCCCTGTAATTTCGTCTTGGCTCGCCCTGTATGTTCGAAAATAATTTCCAGTTATAGACTTTTTTATCTAGTTTACTTGCAATTTTTTAAAAAATTTCTAGCTATCGTAGAATTCGAGATATCGAGGTCCGACGCACTATTGCCCCACCCTGTATAAAATATTTGAAATTAACTGCCAAGAAGAGAAAAAAGATATATAATATATCAGCATAAAATGAGAACAAATAAAAAAAAATCCTTTTTAATTCAGAACATTTGTACATTAAAATTTTCTAATCTAGATAAAATTATGTCTTTTTTTTAATTTACATTTAACCGTTGCGTTGTCACCGACATATTGGATTGGCAAATTATTAATAATATAGGTATGTTGCTATGAATGAAAAGGAAGATCGAAAAGATGAATTTTTGTAAGAGGGAATACAAACTGTATTCTCAATTTGTCTATAAGATCTCTATTGAATCAACTGAAAGTACAAAAAACTAAACAAAACAATAGTTTTATCGGGGCCAGCGACTACATTATTTGTGTACAATTGGGACATGATTTCTGTTTATCAATACGAGATAACTGCTCACTTTCTAAATAATGGAAATGCAAAACACAGGCGGGCTAGCTTAAAAATAACTACGGGGCTGCGGGTTTCAGTAAAATTCTTCGGGTCAGTAAATTGTAACACTTACATTCTAGATATTAATATTTTGGGTTTGATAACATTTAACAATATACAATTTCAATTTTTATGTAAATTGGTGAACAATTTTTATTTGTTTTTGAAGAATATATAATCAATATCAAATGAAGTTATATTTCATTGCTCCTGTACAAAAGCTGATCCCCCTCTAGGGTTGTCATTTTGACCCGAAGAAGAAGGTTAAGCGATATTTACGGGTTTACGATAGATTTCTTCGGGTATACGAAAAAGGTTTTAGCATCGATCTCGGTAGCGCAGTGGGCTAAACCGTTAAATAACAAATGCACAGTTTATTGCAAACTTATTTGTAACATAAAAAATTACGCCTTCTTTCATCCCTTTATCCCTGTCAAAGAAGTCGAAATTTTTTTGTTGGAAATAAGTTTGAAATAAACTATAACTGATTATACTGCCTGCCGACTCCCCCGGTTAA